AATTATTTAACACGGCCACCTGTCTTTCTCGCCAACTTGTTAGCTTTTTCAGCACCAAGAGAAACATAAGGAAATTGTGTGAATAATTTTAGATTTTTAAAATGCGTAAAATTAGGCAATTTTCATCAGTTTACCAATTTTCATACCGAAAAAATTCTGACTTATTTCCTTTGGTAATTAACCGATTCCGTTTTTAGAAAGCTATATCTTTTGATAAGTAGTACAATTTATTAAAATAAGAATTTTTTAAACCTTTTTATATTAAAAGATCAATTCTAGTATATATACATATATCCATAAGGTTCTCGCTCGCTATAGGCTCCAACGATTTTGATGAAATTTTGTACACCGTTAATGTTTTGGATTTTAAGGTTATCTGAATAAGGATTATCTCCGAGAGGTTGCCACCTATTCGAAATTAGTTGAAAATTAATTAAAACAACATAATATTGTTATAAAATGGAAGGCATTTTAAAGTTTCTTAACTCAGAAATATTTTAAATAGGGTTGCCCCCTATTTTGAATCGCATATTTATTGATTTTTTCTTTAGAAAAAAATTTAAAATATTACTATTCATGGGTACCAAGAGAAGATTCCTAAACAATGCTTTCCCTATATACAAAATGTTATCGCTTAGGATAATAGTGTAAGGTTGCCACTTATTTTCGATTCTACACAATTTATCTAAAACATCGCAATATGGATATTAAATGAAAGGTATTGTTGAGGGCTTTGGTCAGAAAATGTTTTCCATCAGGGTTGCCACGTTTCTATGTAATACAAATTTTTATTTTGTTAATTTCAATCAACATTTTTTTATGTATACACAGTACATATACGCTCAAGATATGTACCATTAATTCCAGCGTATTTCGGAATAGGGTTGCCACATACATTTTAGACTAAGGAATTTACTTAATAGATATCGAAATCCAATTTTTTTTGTTTATTTCCAAAATATTTTTTTGTAAAGCTATCCAAATCTTGAAAACTTTAATGCGTACATATATGCACTTCGAGCAAAGCTCGGTCAACTTGGTACTTTTGACTTATTAGAGAAACAGTTTTCTAAGGAACCTTCTTTTAAGAAAAATAATTTATAGAAAAAAATAAGGAAAAAATTATTTTTACCCAAACTAAAAAAGGTGTACCAAACTGTAAAAAAAAAAATTGTTTAACGAATTAAAGGAAAGAAGTAATTTTGCGGTAAATATTTTGTACATAAGTACTTATTTACATAATTTTGGGATTAAAATATATATTATTTTTAGCGTAAAAATTAAAGCGACATAATAAAAAATCATTTAAGGACAATTATTTTTCTTTAGATTTTTTAGGAAACAACAATTTTTTAAGGAAGGCAATAAAACTACGCGAGCATAATTAATTTTGGAAAGTGAAATAAGGCTGCGGGGACATATATAGTTCATTTTTTGGTTCTCTTATATTCATCCCAAAATTAGTTTAGACCACCGATGAAATAAGAAGGTGGCTTTAAATCACGCGAAAAAGTTATTTCCTTGTGAAGAAACAATGTTTTGGAAAAAAATTTGGAATTTGTATGTAAATATATATGTATAAATATAGTTGTGTAAAAATTAAGGAAAGAAATTTTTTTTAAAGCATTTCAGGGGAAAACAATTTTTTTGACCTTTGAGAAAGAATCATTTTATAAAATCTGACACGTCTAAAAAAATTAATTTTGTACAAAAATTACTTTTTTAGGAAAAAACCATATTTTGCAAAAAACTACTTTTAAGAAAGAAACTCAATAATACTAAAAAAAAATCTTTTAGAAAATATTATTTTATAGAAAAAAATACGGGGTGACGAAATTTTTTTAGAAAAGTTAGGAAAAAGAGTAGTGTTTAGTTGAAATTAATGAAATTTATTAAGAGCAAATTAGCTTAACATTGATTTCCTTTTTTTTGTGATGTGCAAAAAGTTTTTTATTTAGCGTTCGCAATGATGAATAACATTTTGGAATATAAACAATTGGCGTTTTTCTATTGTAGGCTTATGGTCCTGTGAGGGTTAATCAATAAATGGGCAATATTTCACGATTGCGGCACAATTCCGTTTAGTTTCAATCCGTTTTATAATGCTACTGGCATTAGAGATTGCATTAAATTTTATTAAATTATTAACATAGTATAAACTTTTTTTCACATTCTAAAAAAAAGAAAAAAAATATATCCATTTTCCATATTTCCTTGCACTGGATATTGTGGCATGGAGTGACATCCGATTTTTGCTATTCTTTTTGTATGTCGCCTTGCAAATTTTTTATTCGTTTTTTTTGCAAATCTTCAAATTACTTGCAACCAGCTGCAATAAATTTTGCTACTATTTTGTAAAACTGCTGCACGTACTACTTTCCTTCCTTCGCGCCCTAAATCCGCTAACTTAACCTCACAACTTATACACCCTCCATTATTGTGCTTCAATAATATTTGTCCCCACTCTTTAATGTTTTTTTTTTTTTTTAATTTAACAACCCGTAATTTGTGGTTTTTGCGGTCGTCGTTTCTGTTGTTTTTCTCACTTACTGTTTTATTTATAGTACCATTTTAGCGTACAAATAAGCCAACCAGTGCTGGCGCAAGAGTACAAACAAATAAAACAAAACAAATACACGGGGATTGGCACATGTTTGCTATTATGTATGTATGTATATATATGCACATTGACCGCTATAGCTTTTTAATTGCATATATTAAGGCTTTTCGCATGGCTAGCTGACTGACTGAGTGGCAACGAGCTGGGTCATTTTCTGCATAAAATTGCACCTGGCCAGTTTCTATTATTAGTATTTATCGTAGCGCGTTTTTCTTTTCCTTGCTTCATGTATTTTTGAGCTTGTGTTTCATTTTGTTGTTACTTTTTCTTTCCTTCCTTACTTCCTTAATTGGCGATTGTTTTGTCATTGGCTATCGACTTGTAAAAGAGTTTTTCTTTGTATGAATTTTCGCTTTGTTTGTCAATCAAAGAGAGTTTGAACTGACTAAACTGAGGAGAAGAAAAAGGGCTGATTTGCAAAAAAAAGTAAAAATTTTTATTTTCGAATTGGTAAGCATATCAACGCGGTTGCAGGAGGGACACTCAAGCGAAGCAGTAGTATAGATATAGAGAGCTTAAGGTAAGGAGGTGGCAATATCCTTCGGTTCAGAACCTAGGTATGGGTGAACAACGAAAGAAAGGGCGCCCACATACACAACGGAAAATGCGCGCAACTTGACGAAGGATAGTGGCAATTGGAGAAGCTCTTTAGACTCGATCCAAATCGGCAAACGGCTGTAGTGCCCAATAAGAAGGAGATAAGGAGTTCAACGAAGCAATTTTGGCGACTGTCTTGAAAGCTCTTTACTGTCTTTCGAAAGATTATCTGAAAGAACTGCTAAAGAGCTCATAGCGTTATGCTGTTCGCCTTTTAATAATACGTTTTTTTAATTAATTCAAATTTAAAAAATATATATGTATGTTCATTTCTTTTTCGTTTAGAACAACAAAAATTAATAAACACAAGAAAAGAAAAATAAATAAAATGAAAAAAATATATACAAAATTTATAAAAAATAAACGAAATTAAAAAAAAAAAAATATTTTTCTTTTTAAAACAATAAAATCTAAAAAAAAATTAAAAAAAAACAGGTTTCAAAGAAATAAAAAAAAATTTATTTTTAATATAATATTAAAAGAAAATCTGATAAAACAAAAAAAAAAAACAATTTTAGTAAAAAAAATTCGCTACCCGAGGTTTCGAAACTAGATCTCTCGAACCACCAGTGCAAGTGCTTTCTGAACAAGAGATCTTTATTTGAGGGACCTAGAAACTAAATGTAGTTCTCGTAGTTTTGTTCCCAAGAAAGATTCAACAGCAAAGGTGAAATGAGAACAAAAGACTGTCGAGAACGTTCTCAATGGGAATTATATGAAAACGAAACCCTGCGGAACGTTCCCAAAGAGAAAAAAATGCGAACAATACTTTCGGAACATTTCTAAGAGAACAAAATGGAAACAAATGCCTCCGGGACGTTTTGACAAAGAACAAAACGGGAACTAAAGTCTAAGGAAGTTTCTGACAGAGAACGAAACGGAAGCAAATATTCTTTGAACTATTCGGGAAGAATGGAAGCGAAAACAAAATTTTTCACATAGTGTCCATTAGTATGATATGTTTGAATATTACTTAGAATTAATCAAAATTAATTATGCAAATTAAGTCAACGGCTTAGGACATGAATATTTCTTGCACAATTCCCCCTAATGAAAAACGATCTAGAAGTTGGAATGTTCCAGCTTTTCTCTGGTTTATAATCGTAAATCGTGATTCCCACAGAAACGATTTATCATTTCAATACGCAGACTGAAAGGGGCATTCTTAACGTAAAGTTCTCAAAACTTGTGCTCTCGTTTTGTTCTCTATCAGAAAGTTCCCCAGACTTGTCTTCTTATTTGATCCTCCTTGAAAACGTTCTCGATATTTCGTTCTCATTTTGTTCTCATTCTGTTCTTCTTGAGATTGTTGTCGAGAGTTTTATAAGCATTTTGTTCTTTACGGGAACGTTCGGGAACGGGACATTGCAGTTTGTTCTCGTGCAGAACTAAACTAAAACTAGAAAGCGTCCTTGTCTCTGCTTTTTTTAAGACTTTTGTACTAGAATAACAAAAGTCTTTCTGTCTTTCATTTGTCTTACGAAATACGAAAGATAGTAAATCTTAGCCAGAACTGCCCTATAAACGTACTATGCAATATTTTTTTTGGTAAACAAATTCTTGATGGTATGGAAATTGGCGACGTTATAATTTCATTACAAATATGCGTAAAGAGGACTTTCCAACAGTTCTTTTTTGTTACTTATTGCCCAATAAACCATTAGTTGAAAATAAGTTTCAATAATCTACTCAGACTTTCTCTTCTTACTGCACGGTTTACAAAAAAAAAAATAATGTTTCAAATTTTATATTTTCATTTTCAATTAGTTATTCCAACACTTACCTACCACATCCAGATAGCCCATTTGACTTTTCATTGGATCTGTATTTATTTGACACATATACCAGCCTTTATCGCTTTCTTTGATATCTTTGATTTTCATTGTCCACGTTTTATGTTCGGAATTCGTTATGCCGATACGTTGATTTTTTGTGATAACATGGTTTTGTATTGTTAAAATTGTTTGAGTATCTACACGCAGCCACGCAACCTGGAAGCGAAAAGAAAATATTAGGTATATATTTTAAAAAGGCGCGAGAGAGGAAAGCCAAAAGATCAAAACAGATGGACCTATGAGTTCAAACTAAACACTCTAAACACTTTCAAAAAGTTATAAGAAAAAATTGTTTGCACATCCATTTCACCAAGTGTCAATCATACTCAGTATTGTCTGCGCCTTTCCTGCAAACAGCCGGCAGAGATGGACCCATGACTAGACAGATCACATCATCCGCATAGGCTTGAGCGTAGATATCCAGAGTAATAAAGAGTGACAAGCACCAGAGCAAAGGGGAAAAGCACACCACCCTGAGGGTAGCCTCCTTCTGCCTGAGACCTGATGTCCCGCTGCGCCAGCATTGAACGAATCCAATTTACCAGTACAAAATCTATCTGGTGCCGTAGATAAGAATTGCACATGCTATCGAAGGTGGCATTGTCAAGAGCCCCCTTATTGTCTACAAAAATGCCCAAAGGCGAATTCTTTCCTATTGATGGCATTGCTAATTCTGGCAACCAGATTTTATAAAGACATTTCACAGGATTTCCCCGATTTCCCCGCACAACGTCAGTTGTAAAACATTATCTACGCACGCATGTATATAAATTCACCTTCTTTTCCATTCAAAGGGACCTCCGATTCAGAGCCAGGACACGAAGAATTATCAAGTGTTGCTAGCATTGTAGAGTATTTGCTAGAATGTCTCAGCAACATTTAGAGCATCGTCCAGTATGGTACGTTTAAGAGACTGTCATTTGAAAATATGCACCTGGAATGTCCGGTTTCGGAGCCACAACCCTTATTTTAAACATAGAATATATCATATTTTTAAGAGCGCATTCAAGTTAAAAACTGTACATGAAATATTTGTTTTGATTGTTTGTAATGAATTTAGTAAATCAATACGAATAAAAAAATATTACTAACTAGCTATAGAGAAGCCGAACCACATGCTGATTAACAAGCTTATCAGCAATTTCGTTTCATGCAATACTAGTTTCTGTTCTGGAATCCAGAACCCAAACCCGATTGGTCAGACCAAGAGTATTCAGCTTACAAAGGTACTCCATCACCATTTTAGATGTTACCTGATGATATCCGAGTGCCTTGATAGCCGCTGGAAATTTAATTTCCCATAGGTTCACAATATTCTAATCTCGTTAGAACTACGGAACGTACTCTCTCTTTAGTCAATGAGCTATCAGTGTACTAGGTTAAAATGTTTTAGTTTATCTGATATGATTTGGATTTGTCTGCGCAGCTCTTCTTATTGGTCAGATTAGTTTTAAACCTCTTCGTAAAGCTGAACTTCGGATACATGGTTTTCATCGATAGTGCATTTTCAGGGCACATCTTAGTTAGAATATCGAACTTTCTACGACTAAGAAACATTTCCGCCCCGATGTTGGTACTAGTCATACTTAGTAACTCTCTTTTCACCTGAGTCTGTACACGAATATGAAGGGGGGGAGGGGTCAGACCTAAAAGAACTTCTCAGGATGGAGTTGGAAAGATTCTCATGGCTCCAGAGGCCGCCGCGTTTGAGCGCTATCACGTTCGCGCACTAATAATTATAAGGACTTCACCGAACATAGAGCGCAGCGCTCAAACCCAGACTTCCCGTCGAAATACCAGACGACAGTACCGAGGAATTGGTACACGGAGCTAAATTTTAGCCTATAGATATATATATATGTATATCGTTACTTTCACAAAAGCCCTAAAAAAAGTTTAAAAAGTATTTAAAAGACACCTTCTCTGAAAATTTGAAAGGGTTAGTATCAAAAACAGTGGAGTTTTGCCACTTTTTAAATAGCCCCATCTGTAGTTTCTGACTTACTTTTTCACCGACTTCAAAAAAGGAAGGGTTATCAATTCGTCCGAATATTTTTATTATTTTATGTATGTTACCGCATAATTTTGGACCACGTTAACCTATTTCTATAATTATTATTTTTTTTAAAGGAAATGTGTTACCTCAAAAGTGGTCCCATACTAATTTGGTCTAGCTCCGATCAATGGATCCGGAAGGAATCAACGATAATCTTAAATTTTTATATGGAAATTGAAGTTGGTTTGGTTTTTTGCTCAAAAATTATTTGTTATAATGTTTTATGTTTCTTCTATGAAATGGAAAATTTTCTGGTTAGGGCCTTTGTGAATTAATGTAACGATATGTATAAAAGCATAAAACATTTCTACAAACATAGATACGATTGAGATTATTTATTTATTTTATGTAAACATTTTTATTTATTGCATTTATAACTAGCAAATATCTGGATTGCTTACCAAACGCCTTATAAGAACTTTTGCGTTGACCAATACTGAAATAGTGTTGATATGCAAAAACGGGTTGTAATGTAAAAATTATTAGTTAAGATTGAAAGGACTGAAGAGCAGATTCTATGACTAAGGCCAAGAATAATAGCGCTGAGATAACATTTGTGTTAAGTACTAATATCCTTCGATGCTATGAGCTTTTATTTCCACCTGTGAGATATTTGCAAGTATTGCAAGGTTTGCCGAGAGTGTGTAATCTTCTCCTATAATCCTGCTGTTCCACATGATGAAAGAGTTTTCCCGTTCAAACGGGGTCATTGATATTCCTACCATGTTCTCTCTAATTCAGCACACTTCTTTTTGATATACCCATGACCCGTTGATGTGTCTAGGATATCTGTGGAGCTTAATCAATTTTGCGCTTCTATTTATGCTTACTAATGGAAAGAGGATTTATTAAGTCATCTAAAATGTAAACTTGTAGAGGGGCATCTATATATCGTGATTTCAGCGCTGTCTATGTTTTGGGGCCATTTATTTTGGAGAAACATTTTTTATCATAAAATTAATACCCGATAAGCCAGGACATACGATAAAGACAGGTTCTAGAAATATCTCGACTCCGGCGCCATCTGTCGGCACCATTTTCTGCAAAAGTATATTTTACGATTCAGAGGAAAATTACAAATTCATGTGACGTATGATTCCGAAGTTATGGCTGCTTAAACATTTCACTCCTATAGGATATGCCACGTCCCTTTTACAAAAGTATTTCGAATGCTGAGTGGAAGATCGACCTATCTCGGCAGCCAGTTCGAAAACGCCCTATCTCAAAAAACTTTTCAAAAACGTCCTATTTCAAAGTTTGGTTGAAGAACGCCCTAGTTCAAAATTCGTTTCAAAGACGCCCTATCTCAGCTGCCGATTCAAAATCGCCCTATATCGGAAAATTTTAAATACATTTTGGGATAGGGCATTTTGGAATCGTATTCTGAAATAGGGCGTTCTTCAACCAAACTCTGAGATAGAGTGTTTTTCAACAAAATTATGAAATAGGGCGTTCTTGAAGAGTTTTTTGAGATAGGGCGTTTTCAAACTGACTGGCTGCGGAGATACGTCAATCTTCCACCCAGCAGTCGATTTGTACTTTACTATAAGCATCTACCATAGATATGTTTGTCAACACACCAAATTTTAAAGTCATGTGACTTACGGTTTCGAAGTTATAGCTGATTAAAAGTATCACGCATATTGCAGGTGCCACGCCCCCTTGTCAGATCTAATTTTTTTATACCCTGGATTATTAAAAATCCATTCAGTAGTTCCGGAGATTAGTGAGTTGAAACAGACAACAAACAATTTACAGTTTTATTATAGTATAGATAGATAATATTTAAATACACGTATTTAAAAAATCATATTTCATATAAAAAATCTGCTTGATGGCGGAATTTAAAAATAAATACTTCCTAATTTTATGAAATTTTTTTCATGAATTTATTGAAAGGTATTTCTTTCTAATTTTTTTTTGATGTCTTCTTCAATTCATGTAAAGGCAACATGAAAAGTAATTTATGGTATTAAATAGAATAGTAAGGCCACACGGTGTAGCCGAATAGGTACAGCAGTAGGTGCTGGGTTCGTGGACTGGTCAGCACAGACTTTCATTTTCTATATTTAGCTCATAATTAGAAAACCTGAAAAAAATCGAAAGATTTTTCTAATGATTTCGTTGTAACGATAATTCCACTAAAAATAAAAATAAATAAAAATTATTATTAGGTAGTATTCGTACTTAGACGGTAGGACGCTTAGCTCGGGTTGGAGTTTAGCTGCTGATACTTCCTACCCGTACAAAAAATAAATATATAGGTACTAGTATTAAGAGTATGATTTAAATGCAAATGTCCTCTCACCAGAACAACGAAATATGAGATTCAACAGTCTTTTATTAAAGCAGGCGCCCGAATGTCTCATATGCAAATTAATAAATGGAGTGAATGAAAAATGTGCAAAAAATTGTCCAGGTAATGAATACATTTGGAAAAGACCCAGAATAATAAACGGGTGGAAATCCAAAACCGTAAGACGCACTCAATTACTTATTTAAAATACAAAAGTGGAGAGAGAAACAATTGAAAGAAGAGATATTTAGAGTTTTAAGAGAAAAACCGCTAGCAGCATAAATTGATACGAGTTGGAGGTAGAGTGAACATAAAACACATATAACTGAGGAAATCCTCGGCAGAAATTAAGAACTGCAAGAGAAAAATGGTAAAATAAAACTGACAAAACAAAAAAAAATAAAAAATAAGAAAAAGAAAATAACAATACCAAAATTTGCAGAAAGTAAACAAATATGATGAAACAAATACAAAGCATAACCATAATGCATATGAGACGAGTTGAAATGTTTTGAGGCAGAACAATCCAATAGCAGATGAACGATGAACTGAAATAATGTGAACTGGTGTGGGATAATCAGTTGATGGAGTAAGCAAATGTGAGATGGTGCATTGAATTGGGAACTTCAAAGGAAGCAAAGTCATGAAAACAGATAGTCATAAATTAAAACATCGGGTTTTGGTAAGTGGGGAGAATGATATTCAAACTAAGTGGATGATGAGCTCAGCTAAGATAAGCATCATTGAATTGAGTACTGCTAGGAAGTGGAAGAAGCTTTTATTAACGCAGCAAATGAAGCATAT